TGTTGCCACCAGCTCTCATGTTGGTCATCCCAGGCATCTGCTTTCATCTCTGGTTGCGCCCAGCTCTTGTCCACCTTCTCCTCCTCAGGTGCTGGCTGTGGCGCCTCATGATCCAACATTTGCTCCTGCTGTGCTCTCTGTTGAGCTTTGCAAAAGTTGTGGATCTCATCCAAAGACCACACCTTCTCTTCTTCCATCATCTCCCATTGTTGCGTTTCTGCATTCTAGCTTTCTTCAAACACTGGTTCCTCCACCTCAGCAGTCTCCACAGGCTGAGGAGCTTGAGCTGGTGGAGCAGGACATTCAGCTGGTGCAGCTTCAGCTGGTGTATTTGGACGCTCAGGTGTAGCTTCAGCTGGTGTAGGAGGACGTTCAGCATGAGCTGGTGTCATAGGGGTGGTGCCCACACCTTTGCCCTTCTTCAAGTTCCTTAGTAGCCCTGAGCCAGATGCCTTTTCACCAAGGTGGAGATCTGTCACGAAGGAAAAGTCATCCTGTTCCACCTGCTTTTCCTCTGCAGGAACCTGGGCCTTCTTCTCAGGGCGCAGTCTCCTTCTCCACAGAAGCCACCTCCTTCTCCAAGCCAATATGGGCCACCTTCAGGCTCACTCTTGCTTCCTGAAGCAGCAGTGTGCTTCCCCAAGCACTCAGCCATCAAAGCTTCATTGATGTCAGCAAGGTCTGCCCACTCATGAGCTTCCCTTCCTTTGCCCTGCTTCTTGGTCAGAAGCAGGGTCACTCTGCACATCATCCTGCCCAGCAACAATGCCTTCCTATCAAAGCCAAGACTTGTGCCCTTTTCCAGCATTTTGAAAGCTGCTGCAAGTATGCTCTCTGCCTCGTACATTGCTTCCATGTGTGAAGGCCCCTTGAGCTTCTCCAGGTCCCAGGAGTCTACCAAAGCCATCTTTTTGGCACTGTTTTGGTGCAGACAACTGGGTGATCAAGAAAGATGTCCTCATCATTGGAAATGTTGTCTTTTCAAATTTGTAGATAGTGTGCGCCACTTGGGATACACAGTCTTCCCCCAACATCAGCCCCTGGCCAGTTTGCTTGGCAAAGCTCTCTACATATCGGACGAAAGGGAATTCGCCCCCACCTCCATAGTTGCTAACCCATTCACCAATCACTTCCAAGTAGGCAGCTGAAGGCATAGAAGCTTGGGTTTGCAAGATGGCCTGCTCAATGCTCCCACTCTTGTCATACCACCAGGCCAAGCTCAGGGCCTGTTCAACTTCTGTAGGCAGGCTTCCAACTTGCTGAGCTGTGTTCAAACACCCTTGCATAAAGCCAGGCAACCAAGGAAGTGCTTCCTCAGTGCTGGCAGTCACTATTTGCCAGTCCCAACCATGCTGTAGCAGGCCATTGAAAACCTCATCTCCATTTTTGGCCATGATGCTGTCCAAAGTGAGGGGTTCATCATCTTCTGTAAGACAAGCGCCACATTTCACAGCTTTTGCAAATGCAGTCCAGTGGCTACAAGAGACACTCAGATATCTCTCAGTCTCTGTGACAGGGGCAAGCTTCTTGCTGGATGATGCCACCAGGTCAGCGTCGGCAGTATACTGTTTCCTCTTGGTGTCTGGGCATGATGAAACTTCAAAGGCGATTGCGCTTGCCAGCTTGCTTGCATCACATCCGATGGACAGGACTCTTTGTCCTTTGAAATGAGCATCATGTGCATTCACCATGGAGCCCGACCTATTGCATGGGTGAACCAACACCTGGTCACAAGTCACCTTTTGCTTGTAGATCCTTCCATCCTTAGCCAAAATGGCCATCATTTGCTGGAGCTTCCTGCCCACACTCATGTCAGCATCCTTGAGCTCCTCCAGCTGTGCCTTCATTGAAGGCTCCATGGCTGCAGTCCGAGTGTCAAAACAACGTAGCAGTGCACATGCTTTCTTGCTGTTGGCTGTGTTTGTGTTGTGTGCATGTGCATGTAGATGTAGCCACATTCAATGCCTTCTTTCTCATGTCCTTCAGCTATTGCACCTTTGGGCTTGATGCCAAAGGGCTTGAAGCCAAACTTGCATTATTGGGAACGCTGTTGGTTGAACATGCATACTCAACCCTTCCAACAACTGTTAATAAGAAGCCTGGACTTGGCTAATGAAAGGAGCCTGCGAAGGCAATGAGCCTGCAAGGGCAAAAGTAATGAGCTAGCAAGAGCAAAAGCAATGAGCCTGCAAGGGCAAAAGTAGTGAGCCTACAAGGGCAAAAGTAATGAGCCTACAAATGCAAAAGTAATGAGCCTACAAATGCAAAAGTAATGAGCCTACAAGGGCAAAAGTAATGAGCCTGCAAAGGCAAAAACTATGTGCCTGCAAGGGCCATGCCTGCAGGGGCAAGGGCAATGAGCTTGCAATGTCCAAAGCCATGCGTGACACAAACATGAGCCAGCGCAGGTGGCCAAAGAAATGAGCCTGCAAGGGCAATTGCAAACATGAACAGGCGCACTTTTTCCTCCACACTCCCAAATCACTCAGCATCACTCTTCTCATCACCACTGGGCTGCTGCTCATCACCACTGGTCTGCTGCTCATCACCAATGGGCTGCTTCTTTGGGCTTGCCCTCCTGTACTTTCTCTTCTTGCAGGCTGTCTCGAGCATACTGCAATCTTCTTGCAAGAACTCAAAGACAGCAGCCAACTGAGTAGGTTCCAGGGCCACCACCAAGTCTGCTGCTGCCAACCTCTTCAAAGGGCAGTAGATGTCCACTGGTGTTCCATTGACTTGTACAGTCACCACCTGTGGACTGCTCCTCTTCTGTCTCCTTGGCTGGCCCTTCTCCGCCTCAAAGATCTCTTGAGCATCTGCAGGCGCCTCATCCAAAGCCTTCTTTCTCAACTCCTTCAGCTCTTGCACCTTTGCGCTTGATGCCAAGCTTGCATTCTTGGGAATGCTATAGCGATCAGCAAGGTCAAAAGAGCTTGTGAAGTCCACTGAAGCTTCAGCCACTCCCTGCCATAGTGGTTCTCCACCAACCCCTGGGGGATGGCGCGCAACTTGCCATCACCAAACCTCATCTTCAAGGAGCGCTCCATGACCACTTTAGGAGGCACGTTTGCAAGAACTTGTTCACTACCAGATCTAGAAATGGGCTGCGCAAGCAAGATCCTGGCATTGGGTGCAAGGTTTTGTGTTCACACAGGAGGTTGAGCTTGCAAGAGCAACAGACCTATAATGAGCTTACAAGAGCAAAGGAGAATGAGCTTGCAAGAGGAATGAAGAATGAGCTTCCAAGAGCAATGCAAACTTGAGCTTACAAGAGCAATTGAGGACAATAAACAGTTTTTGACAGAAAAACCAAAGGACAATATGGTCATTAGCTTAACACCTTAGCTAATGTTCATAACTCTTACATTGCATTACAGACATTATAACTTGTTGTGAGCTATTATTAAGATGTTGTGACACTGTTAGAATGTAATAGCTAATGCCTGTAACCCTCATAACACACTAGTAACGACCAAGCCCATCTAAGTGGTGATGGGACTCACGATTACTATTGTGATCCTGAGCGTGTCCTGATCTTACTAAGAGCATTGAAGAATACTTCAAGGGAGTTGAGAGGACATGTGAACTCTTGGGACACACTTCGCAATGTGGTTGGTGAAGAGGAGAACTACACGTCAGACGAAGACCAAGAGAGGATTGACTTGAGAATGTGGAGTACTGTGTGGAGTACTCCCAGGAGGTGGCAAGAAGGAGCAACAGAGTGGCAGAATTGGTCAAATTGGCCATCGGGCCATCAAACAAGACATGAGAAGGATGAAACAGAGGATGAGACCGAACGTCGCCAGTGGGTCAAAGCCTAGACTCCGGCCTAAGCTTCAGGGATGTGGTTGGCCCACCATGGGGCGAAGAGGTCGAAGAGGAGGCAGAAGAGCAAGTGGAGAAGGAAGAAGAAGCACGTATACAGATGATGATGGAAACATCCATGAAACTGAAGTGCGTGTGAGAATGGTGAGGATGGAAGAAGACACGTCTCCGACTGTGGAAGCCTTGCTGAACACTTGGAGGCAGACAGCGAAGATGAGTACATCAGACTTGAAGGGGAAAAGTACCAAAGGTACAGAATGGAGATGAATGAGATCGACAGACGCATCGAGGTGTATCTGATCATGAAGATCAGAGAGTTCAAAGACATGATCGAAGAGGATCCTGGAGATGAAGACTTGCCTGAAGGCCTGAGAACCTTCAAGAATCTCCAGAGGATCATCATGGTGGGGGGTCGTGGTCCAGAAAGAAGAAAAAGGGTGATAGATCACCTGAGATGCCTGGGACAATGTATCTTCCACGGGGGAGATGAATCGATGGACATCCCGCTGGGGGAACTGAATACCCAGATGGTTGGGCGGCGACTCATTATGGGCCACCGTTGCCACCAGATACAAGTGAAGAGACCAGATTTCACCGAGAAGATGAGAGCGATGAAGAGATGTCACCAAGAGCAGAAGAAAGCAGGGCTGGCCGAGTGGAAGAAGCAATGGAAGAGCCTGAACCTGAGAGCTGAGTAAGCGCACCTATATGGTGAACGCCGAAGAAGTTCAAAGGTCAGCTCAATGAGCATGCCTTTGAAAGGCAGGGTGTAAAGACATACCCAGACCTGACAGCCGCCTATGTATAGGCTCAAGCTTTACACGTAAAAGTGTTTTTGACGAGGTCGCGCTGTTTTGCAGTAAGTTTTGCCATGTATCACCATACAGCCCCAGTATTCAAGTCGATTTCTGTCAGATGGCGAAATTCCTGGAAAGAGGTGGAAACAGTTGATTTGAGAAGAAGGGATTGGTTTTGGCAAGTACGTTTTGTTCCTTCAAAGCCTCGGCAAGTGTGTATTAACATGCGTACTCATACCAATACCCTATTCATAAACCATGGGTTGCTTAATCATTGAGTTTCTTTCTTAGTAGCCAATGATCACTTTTTGGGGTACCGTAATGATTATAGGGTGCCACCATTATTCTAGTCATTGGACGCTGATTGTAGCAGTGCAGGTGCAAGACCTCATTGACGAAACGATCTTGAAGAAAGAACTCAACAGCCGCCATGCCGACCTTTGGGCAATCAAGAGAGACCTCACGCTATTTACGAAGAGCAGCACCAACACAGAACAAAGTAATTTTCTCAGTTTCTTGGCTGATGGGATGATGTTTTTTGTCTGGACAAACTGACGTTTATGATGACACCGTTTGCTTCGGCGAGGATGTGTAAAAGTTATCCAGGAGTTGTCCATATAGTTTTTGCGATGGTGGGCGGCCAAGTTCCCCAAAAGTTGAACCAATTGCGATATCAAACGTATGAGAATTGGGAAATGGATATCCGTGATGCAGTGAAGCAGGTGAACCTGTCGGATTGTACAGTATGCGAACTCAAACCGTTTTTAGCAGGCTGCTGTGCAGAAACAGAATGCGTGGATCCCTTTTAACACGGCAAAAACATGTAATTCATCAATGACGCTGCAGGATATTTGCGGCCATGATATCAGTTCGATACCCCAAGGCGCTACCCCATAAGAATCTGACAGTGAGGGGCAGTTGACTTTCAAACAAAGTGCGCCCAGGCATTGCGTTGGCCAAAGTGGAAGACGTCATGGCGCACTTGACCACATCGTCAAATCATGTCCAATATATTCCTTTGAGTGTTGCCGCTGCTCCTTGGCCAAAGTATATAGGTTGCAAAACAGAAACATGTTACTGCCCATCTCAAACGTGTGATTCCTCCGCTATCATGCTTCAACTTGCTGCCTTTGCAGCTCAAGACCGTCCAAGTTGAGGAAACGATCCATGCTGAAAGGCAATGAAAAACAATGGGCCCTCCCGTCGTAAATGATTCCAGGGTAGGGTCACCTCCAGGAATAGTTTGTCAGAATAACTTTTTAGGAATATTCAAACCACCATGTTGATGTTGGTGTGGGTCGATGGTACCGTGGAATAATAAGGTCCGAATGTGGACGGTACCCTGGAGTAATATTTGGTCGGAATTGGTTTGCACGCTCACCATATCTCACCATGGCAGCTGGCTCAAGTTCAAAAACTTACAATCAAGGGGTTCCCTCATCAAGGGGTTGGGAAAGCTTGAGGTTTAAGGATTTTGTGATGGGTTTTGGGTGAGGCATAGTGGCAGGCAGGGTTAGGTATAGAGGCAAACAGGGGAGGTGATATTATTCTAGGCCCCTACCAGAACTGAACCACCCCTGGAATAGTTTCTGGTGGCTATGGAGATTGTTTACAGGACGGCAAAATCTAGTAAGGCGTCTGGGTTGGTTGGTTCTAGCAGCGCAAGTACTAGTAAAGCTTGTGGTGCGCACGCCTTGCCTTTACTACATGTTTGCCATAAAACAGAAATTGCCTCCCTCGTGTGTCTATTGGTTTCTATGAATCACCCTTAGAGGTTTTCTGGCAACCATGTGTAGTGGGGTGAGTTTCTTGAGTGCATGGCCATTAAAACAGGGGTAGCCCAGTACGGAAAAGCAGCTGACAAGCAGGGAAAGATAAAAGAGCTGAGACGTATGAAAAGTGGAAGCGGTGAACTCGTAGCCTTGTAGATGGGTTGGAAAGCTCGGAGCTCCCCGGTTGGTATTTTGGGTTAGTCTTAGGAGCCTAGGAACACAAATACTAGTAACTAGGGTTGGAAAGCTTGGTCAGGTTGGATGTTTTGGGTTTGTTTCTTCTTTCCAGCAACAGACAGGGCCAGGGCAGGTGATATTATGCCAGGCACCAGAACAGAACCACCCTGGAATAGTTTTATCTTGCGCGGGAAATAGGGAGCAGAATGAAAATTACTAGTAATTATGTCTTCTGGTATGGGCTGGGGAAGCTTGAGGTTTAAGGGTTTTGTGATGGGTTTTTGGTGAGGCATAGTGCCAGGCAGGGTTAGGTATAGAGGCAAACAGGGGAGGTGATATTTTTCTAGACCCCTACCAGAACTGAACCACCCCTGGAATAATTTCTGGTGGTTATGGAGATTGTTTACAGGAGGGCAAAAACTAGTAAGGCTTCTGGTGAGGGGTTGGTATCTTTGGGTTATAGTTCTAGCAGCGCAAGTACTAGTAAAGCTTGTGGTGTGCAGGCCTTGCCTTTACTACATGTTTGCCATAAACAAGAAATTGCCTCCCTCGTGTGTCTAGTGGTTTCTATGAATCACCCTTAGAGGTTTTCTGGAAACCATGCGTAGTGGGGTGAGGTTCTTGAGTGCATGGCCATTAAACACAGGGGGTAGCTCAGTACGGAAAAGCAGCTGACAAGCAGGAAAGGATAAAAGAGCTGAGACGTATGAAAAGTGGAAGCGGTGAACTCGTAGCCTTGTAGATGGGTTGGAAAGCTCGGAGCTCCCGGGTTGGTATTTTGGGTTAGTCTTAGGAGCCTAGGAGCACAAATACTAGTAACTAGGGTTGGAAAGCTTGGTCAGGTTGGATGTTTTGGGTTTGTTTCTTCTTTCCAGCAACAGACAGGGCAGGTGATATCATGCCAGGCACCAGAACAGAACCACCCCTGGAATAGTTTTATCTTGCGCAGGAAATAGGGAGCAGAATGCAAATTACTAGTAATTAAGTCTTCTGGAATGGGTGGACAAAGCTTGAGGTTTGGGTTAGGTATAGAGGCAAACAGGGGGTATCTTTGGGTTAGTTCTAACAGCGCGAGTACTAGTAAAGCTTGTGGTGCGCAGGCCTTGCCTTTACTACATGTTTGCAATAAAACAGAAATGGCCTCCCTCATGTGTCTATTGGTTTCTATGAATCACCCTTAGAGGTTTTCTGGAAACCATGTGTAGTGGGGTGAGGTGCTTGAGTGCATGGCCATCAAACACAGGGGGTAGCTCAGTACGGAAATGCAGCTGACAAGCAGGAAAGGATAAAAGAGCTGAGACGTATGAAAAGTGGAAGCGGTGAACTCGTAGCCTGGTAGATGGGTTGGAAAGCTCAGAGCTCCCCGGTCGGTGATTTGGGTTAGTCTTAGGTGCCTAGGAGCACAAATACTAGTAACTAGGGTTGGAAAGCTTGGTAAGGTTGGATGTTTTGGGTTTGTTTCTTCTTTCCAGCAACAGACAGGGCAGGTGATATTATGCCAGGCCCCCCACCAGAACAGAACCACCCCTGGAATAGTTTTATCCTGCGCAGGAAATAGGGAGCAGAATGCAAATTACTAGTAATTAAGTCTTCTGGTATGGGTTGGGAAAGCTTGAGGTTTGGGTTAGGTATAGAAGTGAACCACCCCTGGAATAATTTCTGGTGGTTATGGAGATTGTACAGGAGGGCAAAAACTAGTAAGGCTTCTGGTGAGGGGTTGGTATCTTTGGGCTGGTTCTAGCTTCTAGCAGCACGAGTACTAGTAAAGCTTGTGGTGCGCAGGCCTTGCCTTTACTACATGCCATTAAAAAAATTGCCTCCCTCATATGTCTATTGGTTTCTATGAATCACCCTTAGAGGCTTTCTGGAAAGCATGTGTAGTGGGGTGAGGTTCTTGAGTGCACGGCCATTAAACACAGGGGGTAGCCCAGTACGGAAAAGCAGATGACAAGCAGGAAATGATAAAAGAGCTGAGACGTATGAAAAGTGGAAGCGGTGAACTCGTAGCCTTGTAGATGGGTTGGAAAGCTCGGAGCTCCCCGGTTGGGATTTTGGGTTAGTCTTAGGAGCCTACGAACACAAATACTAGTAACTAGGGTTGGAAAGCTTGGTCAGGTTGGATGTTTTGGGTTTGTTTCTTCTTTCCAGCAACAGACAGGGCCAGGGCAGGTGATATTATGCCAGGCCCCCACCAGAACAGAACCACCCCTGGAATAGTTTTATCTTGTGCGGGAAATAGGGAGCAGAATGAAAATTACTAGTAATTATGTCTTCTGGTATGGGTTGGGAAAGCTTGAGGTTTAAGGGTTTTGTGATGGGTTTTTGGTGAGGCATAGTGCCAGGCAGGGTTAGGTATAGAGGCAAACAGGGGAGGTGATATTTTTCTAGACCCCTACCAGAACTGAACCACCCCTGGAATAATTTCTGGTGGTTATGGAGATTGTTTACAGGAGGGCAAAAACTAGTAAGGCTTCTGGTGAGGGGTTGGTATCTTTGGGTTAGTTCTAGCAGCGCAAGTACTAGTAAAGCTTGTGGTGTGCAGGCCTTGCCTTTACTACATGTTTGCCATAAAAAGAAACTGCCTCCGTCAGGATGCCATATAGACTGCATGTTGGAAGTTGCCGCGAATTATTCCTGAGAACTGTTCACATATGGAATAGTTTTTGGCCAGGTGTAGGTCCTACACCCCTGAATAATAAAAAGATTCTTCTGGGGGCCCATCCACCCCAGGGCCCCAGATGGGAGGCCCCATGAAAAACATTGTTCGCTGACATTGGTCTATAGTGCATCGTAAAATTTCAGTGGGTTTTTTCCTATTGTATTTTCTCAGATATTTTTTCTGTGACGCTAAGGCCACCCTTCACTGTATCATTCTGCGCCTGAGAGTCGATGTCGGAATGGAACTCTATGGCAACTACGACCCAGCATGGAAAGCTGCGCTTCAAGGTGCGGTGGCGTACTATCAGACCTATTTCAACTACGCCTATGATGAGTGGTACCAGTGGCGTCGAGAACAACTTACAACTTACTATGATGGAACGACCACTGGCCAATCCCATCGGAGAAGGCAGTGCAAAGCCAAGCTCAGCGATAGCCACACTGGCAACAGCTACCAGGTGGAAGTGAACGATTGGAACAAGGATTATTGCGAAGTAGTTACTCAATGGCAATACAATCGGACAGTCAGAGAGTATGCGCGCGAGATCGTTACGGCCTTGCAAAACGTGATGCAATTGCAACGCTACATCCCTGGCATGGAAAGTGCTGAGATCCAGGTGATCCCGGCCATTGAATATGTCACCCTGGGACCATTCGCGCCTTACACACAATTCATCGACTATGTGACCTACCGAGTCCGAAATTCCGAGATTGCTTCGACACGTCCGACAGTTTGTGGACCTGGCGACATCACTAAGATAACAGTTCGTTCAGGCTCTTTTGTCGACAAGATCCAGATCAACTATGAGGATGGCCAGGAATGTGCTCAGGGTGGTTCTGGTGGAGATGCCAGAGAGATTGACCTTTCCAACAAGCACCAAGTTTGCTTCGGTGATCGGCGGGGATTCCGCGATACATGTGTATGTTTGATAAGTACAAACTGTAGTCGTTCCTGTTTGTTTTGTAGCTTGTGTTGCACTTTCCAACGTGATGGCCGTTCCTTTTGATCTTCTTGCCGCCCAGGTATGTTCAAGGAATTTCAAAGATGTGCTTCGATGACTATCAGATGACCCACATGAAAATGACCCTCTCCGATGGTTCCGAATCAAGCTTTGGCAGCGGATCGTGCTCTGTCAGCTCAGATGGCACTGTCACTGGCGATCAGAGCTATAGGCTTGTGGGAGCTTCGATCATTGGATCATCTCGGGTGATTCACGTTGAACCAATGTACCGCTTCATCGGGCTGCCAGTCTCATCCACCAGCAATCCTTCCAGTTTCAATAGCGACACCATGACGTCAGGTGAGATACTCTATGCAAACGACGTCTTACAGTCTGCCGACGGCACCTACACCTTCCGCGTCCAGGAAGATGCCAACTTAGTGGTTTATGACAGCTCGCAACGTCCCATATGGGCCTCGAAAGATGTGGCACCAAACGACTGCTCTGATCCATCCACACTGCAACTTCGGCTTCAAACCAATGATGGCAACTTGGTGCTCTACTGTGGCGACGCTCCCTTGTGGGCCTCCAAAACAGTTGCGTCAAGCAGCATTTGCCGAGTTTTGGCTATGCAGAATGATGGCCAATTAGCCATGTACAACGTTGGCAACCAGGTTGGTGTTTGGTCTTCCTTGGGGTCGATTCCGATTGGATTTGGGCCATTCCAGTTGACAAACCCTGACAGTCTCGCAATGGGACAGCGCTTGGTGCGGAACTTCTATGGAACAGACAAATCATTTGAATTCCTCATCGAAGATGGACAACCTGTGGTGAAACAGTGGCAGCAAACCACCACCGTTTGGAGCGCTGGTAGCAGTTGCAGCACAACCAGTGAAGCACACCTCACACTACAGGAAGATGGCAACCTAGTGTTGATTTGTGACAAGACCGAGACCAACTCCAGGCCATGGGCAACAAACACCGAGGACCCATCCCTCAAGAAGTTGAGTGGCATGAACAAGCTCATCTTGGACGCAGATGGTGCATTGAGGCTCATCAACAAAAGAGGTGCGACCACCTGGACGTCAGCAGGTGAAGAATACAGGTACTTTCCTTGAAGGTCGACGTAGGCCCCAGGCTTGATGGAAGTTGAAATGCGATGCACTTGTTCCTAGTAGCTTCTTGTTACTATACGTTTTGGTTTTAGGCCGCAAAGTCGGTCAGAATTAAGGCTTGCAGCCACCAACCCTCATGAGGATGGCTTCCAAAGGATCGACAAAAAGTTGCACATGTGTATCGTTTTTGGATGGAGATTGGAAGGTTTTTCCTAATTCGAGCGTTAATTACAAGTACAAGGGACCGAAGTCCTTAAGTGCTGATACAATCTATCTTCGAAACTCAGTCCCAGAACATCACATTGGTTTACTGAATTTGGCCGGCCCCTTGGAGCCGAAGTTTTGAGCGCCGCCTGGGCCCTCAGGTGGAAACTGATGAAGCAGCCGCCCGGCATTATGATCCTTTAGTACTTTCACTGGTTACTTTCAAACTTGGATGTCAGTCTGATTCCTTGCTGTGAGACAAATACAAGGTTATGTGATGTTATTATGTGTGCTTATGTTAATTTCTTTGCAACCACTTTCTGTGCATGGTCTTGTGAGGAATCAGATCCGTTTTGTGACCAAAGTTGGGTAACATTGAGTGATATGTGTCCAAGTTCAGGCCGAACATGTTTGGAATGTTTAGAGCGAACTTTCATGGCAACAAAGACACTGGAATTTATCGGGTGTGAGTTCTTTGCATCAGGCCTCCTCTGGCTCCAGCAGCATCTCTATAAGTCGATGTCAGACATGGTGAACTAACCAGTTGGTATTTGAAGTTTGGGATCCACTTAAAGATCCATATGAATAGCCCATCCATTTGGGGATGGAGAATACAAGCTATTTATCATGGTTCTGGGCTGTGGACCATTGCTCTCAGGGATGCTGCTGACACTCTAGCCCAACATGGATGCTATGGTAAGACGTCCAAGCATGGATGGGCGGCAGTCATCACAGATCTCGCTGGCCCAATCGTGGCTCGGCACATCAAATGGTGCAGGTAGATCGGGGAGAACATACACGAAGTTCAGGTGTTGGCAGTGTTGGCCATTGACAAACTTGTTTGCAAGATATTCACAAGCTACGGGGTTTTGGCCAACATAGTATGATGTTTAACTTGTGCGCCTTCTTTCTGGAAACTGGTGGCAGGCACAAGGGAGTAGCACGATAGCGCGCAACTTAATGATAGAATGATTAATCATGATCAATTGCTGGCAACTCCTTGCTGCATCATGCTGTATCCATTTGGTTAGTAGGCTGTAGCCCTGTGCAACCTGGCATTTCACCCGAACTCCTTGCCACGTCCTCATGCGGACCAGCGCTTTCTTAAGAGGTTTGAGGTTCCCTTCTCAGGATTCATGGAATGATGCATCTCTGTGAATCAAGTTGGGATCTCCAAGTTCTCAACGAGCAATTTGGAACACGTTGATGCTTTCCTGGCACTCGCTTCTTTCACCGCCTTTGTTCACTGCTGAAGCTGTCGAAGGAAGTTCACAGTACCATTTGAACATCGATGTTCACCGCAAGTTTCAGGCGAACTGTTTTTTTGAACAGCCGTGCCATGCATATGTAACAGCCCTGCATATGTGGGGGGCATTGTCGATTTTCTTGGACCAGCTTGGAAATCCTGTTTCTAGAACCCTCCAGGCCCTCCAGCAAGTGAATATTACTAAACATTATCAAACAAACATACTTTAAAAAGACCTACCAAGCGTTCCCGGTCGTTGCTGATGCGGCATCCATATCACCTTCCAAGGCTGCCGTCGGAAGCACCAAGACCACAGATCTTGAAGCCCAGGAGGGATGGCGCCAACAAGGACTGGACGTTCGGGATTGTCGGACGATCAGTGACCGGAAGGCCATCTAAAACGCTTAAATCTACCCCCTGCTGTTTGCAGTCATGTGTCATGTTCCCTGCCATGTCAGTGGCTGTTTGCGAGAACAGGACGGATATTTCACAGTGTTTGGGCCACTTAGAGTGACTATTATACCTTTCCAGTGATCAAGAACAAGTGCATGCCATGAATCAACAGAAAGAATTCGTTCAAACAAAAACTTACATGTACTTTGATTGCTCCTCATGCAGACAGTGGATCCAATGGTTTCCAATCAGCCTTTGAGGCCTTGAGACGAGGGAAATGGGTCGGGCTCACCAGTTTAGACGAATGTGTTGTCATCGTCTCCGGTGCTTCCAACAGCTCATGAGCTGCCAAGTCCGCCAAGTGTAGGAAGTCGACGGAGGAAATGAAGAGCCCACTCCAGCGAGGAAAGCCGGAAAGCTTGCTAATTATCTAGGCCAATTTCCTACCATTTGTGCACAGTGTTTTTTCTCTAAATATGGCCGGGATACTGGGTGTTCGAAGAGTTGTTCTGAGTCAAAAGAGGAAGCCTCGTCTTGCTTTCCGGCACATGTTTCGCATCGCCGCATATCTCCAGGATTCTCCAGGAATGGCAATATTGGTGACTCGGTCGCCGGTTTTCGCACGCTGGGCTCTGCCAAATTCGTTCCAGACAGGTTTTGGACGGCGAAAGATAGGGTATGAAGATCAATGTCAAACAAAAAGAAACACAATGTTTTCAGGATGCGGGTGATTTGCTAGAAAGTGCAAGAATTTCCTTAAATATATGCACAGTCCACTGCATGTGACAGTTTCACTGCAATCGAATTCCAAGCGTTCTAGCGCGCGAAGGGCACATAGCCATCGCCTGTGGATTTTGCATCACAGCTTTTACGCATCTACTTGCATGCTCCGGCATGTACCACCGACCCCGATCCGTGTGTGTTGAAACCGAGCCAATACCATCGCGTGTAGCACCGACCCCGCGTCCAATACCCTCAGCCATACCATCCTCAGGTCACTTGGAAAACTTTCAAGATCCGAATGTGACAGATGATCGAGGCGAAACTGCAGCCTTGAAGGCCAGTTGGAACGGTGACCTGCCAAAGCTGGAGATCTTGGAAATGGGATGTGCCGACTTCAACAAGCCAGACACGCGACACAGCTAGTTGGGCGTGTTGGACATGGAAATCCTCCTGCTGACAAGCTTTAAGATATTATAGAACAGATTCTATCGAAGTGTTTTTCCTTGTCTTCCTAACTATATTATCTATATTTCTTATTGTTATACTGGTCTTCCTAAGTATATGTTCTTGTTATAGTTGCACATGGTGTGTGTGGTCACCAATTGTTGTTTCTTACGCTGGATCCAGACAAGAAGTACTAGCCAAAGACGCCAAGACAAGAACGACAACAAGAACTGACATGGTCAGACCCTGGCACATGTTGCTGTCAAGACATGCTTGTTTCGAAACACTGTGGACAATGTGGAACATGTACCCAAGTCTATACCCCAGATCTATACTTGGTGACCTTGCCTTCAGGGAAGCAGACCAAACCGGTGCGAACCGTGCATTCACCGTGCGCACATCGAACCCCCTGGGCCGGGACCCCTCCGTTTTCGGGGTGCCCTGTTTGGTAGTCCAGCCACACCCCGAAAACGGATGCTGTGTGAATGTACCATGCCCAGGGTCCGCTCCAAATAAACACGTGTCCAAGCCCTCCACAGATGTCCAGGAGCGTTGGTGTGGGGCATCTTGATCCATTGATCACTCCCTGAAACAATCATATTACGTCCCATTGATCACTTGATCCATTGATCCATTGATCACTCCATCCATGTCCATTGAGCCCTCCCTGTCCAGTTTCCCTTTGGTTACGTGGAAAGCATGGGCCCCGAGTTGGGATGACTTTGATGGTCCGAAGACCGCGTGTCAGGTGGTGGGTTCCATGAGTATTATGAGTATGTGTACACAAAGGACCTACATGATTTGTCTGGAACACTGAAACAATCCTAGTTTCCTAAAGACATATAAACATCTTTCATTGGAGCCTGTTTTCAAGACTTACAAGAGTCAACATAGTAATTAGTAAAGAGAAGTTAAATCAGAAAGTTCCAGAAAGTCAAAACATGTTTAAAACGCAAGTCAATTGGCCCAGATCCGACCTTTGTTTGACTTGTGTTTGCCTATGTTTTTCATGTTTTCCCGACTATTTATATAGTTGTTTTTTGTTTTTACGTGTTCGAGTTGTTTTTTAATGTTGACTTGTGTTTGACTTTTAGTTGATTTGTTTTTGTTTTCGAGTTGCTACATAATTTTGCCGTTTATGTTGACGTTTTTGTGACTTCTTTTCGACTTTTGTTGTTATCCAATTGCTGTTTTTTGCATTCTATTTGACTCGTTTTTGACTTGTTCGAGTTATGATCTATTTTTGACATGTTTTATTTTCTTTTTAAAAAAGACTTTTCCACTTGACTGTTATGGACTTCGACTTTTGATCCTTGGCTTTTTTGGTCAAAGATCCTGGCCTTACCATATGAACGATATTTATTTATAACTAAAGACATCCCTGTCACTGACAAGTTTCAACTCAAGCTCTTAAACATGTCTTAGCCGGTTTGGAATTTCATGCCATTGGGTTCGGTTGGGTTCAAAGTCCAAGTCAGATTGATAAACCAAGGAGGTAATTTTTCAGAGGGGTTGCGCAGCTGCTGGGCATTGGTGAACATGTCTTTGAGCCCCAAGCGCGCTGAGGACATCAACGGTGCCACCCCACTCTCCATCGCTGCGCAAAATGGCTACCCTGCTGCAGCCAAGTTTCTGCTTCAGTACAAAGCCGAAGTGGACAAGGCATTGAACACCGATGCAACTCCAATGTACGTTGCCGCCCACAACGGGCATTCCGAAGTTGTCTCAGTCCTAGTGGAATCGAAGGCTAAACTGGATGCTCAGACGACTGATGGAGCTACACCCCTTTTCATAGCCTTTCAAATGGGTCACTATGGAGATTTGGCGGCACAAAATGGCCATGCCGATGTGGTGACCGCTGGCCCGGGCATTGGCCCAACAAAATAGGATTGCGGCGAACAAAGTTTGCAACCATCATGTTCAACATTTGTGAATGTGCAGTGCAACTCTTTGTAGGTACCAAAGCAATATTTCGGAGCTAGAATGACATATT